GTTAGAGATCATTTTAACAAGCTTAAACAAATCATTGATGAAAATTCACTTACCGCTATGCAAATTTGGAATATGGACGAAACTGGATTTATTCTTGCACCCGCGTTAACAAAGGTTATTGCGAAAAAAGGCACACGTCAAGTTCATAAAATGGCGCAAGAAAATTCACATGAACATGTTTCGGCTGCTCCAACAATTTCAGCTGCAGGAACATATATTCTATCTCTACTTATCTATAAGGGTGTTCGTGCAATTCCTGGCTTGTTAGAAGGTGCACCTTCTGGAACCGTAATGGGTTTTACAAACTCAGGATACATGCGTGAAGAACTTTTTCAATTGTACCTTAATCATTTTATTAATTCGATCCCATCCACCTGACCAGTCTTATTAATACTCGATGGTCACAAAAGCCATGTAAGTTATACAAGTATCAATTTCTGTCGCAAAAATCGAATTCTTCTTTATACGCTTTCACCTCACACGACACATGTGTTACAACCATCTGAAATTCCTTTTGCAAAATTAAGGAATATAACAAAGAATGTGAAAAATATCGCAATGACAATAATGGAAAAATAATAATTAAACGTACCTTTGCAAAGGTTTTTGGCTCTGCCTTTATCATGACTTATACACTATTAACTATCTGCAATGCCTACAGAGCCACCGGAATATGACCATTTAATCCTGATGCTATTAGTTCAGATCGCTTAAATCCATCATTAACAACAGAAAAATTTGAAAATGTACCTTCATTTAGTCAATTTTCTACACAACTAGTCAAGTTACCTCTAGCATCACAATCACCTAGTAGACTAACCACTCGTTCAAATATTATCCAATTAGAAAAAAATTACGAGTTAATTATGAATGAAAATGAAACGTTAAAAGCCCAACTTGCAACAACAACAGATAAATTAGAAACTTACAAAAATCCCGGAAGGAGTTCCTTACGTTCAGTTCTCAAGTATGCGATTCCTCGTGTTTCACAGATTAAAATTCCAGAAGTTTCTTTAGAAAATCAAACTGAATCTGAAGTTCCTGTCCCTAAAAAAAGAAAAACTCTTCCTTTTGTGCAACTTCTTACTAATGAAGAAAGTTGGCAGCAGTTAAACAAGTTAAATGAGGAAGCGGAAGCAAAGATCGCAGAAAGAAACTGAAAAAAAGAATTGGCAACTCAAAGAAAAGTTGCACGGGAACTTGAACTAGCGAAAAAAAGGGAAGAACGTGAGCAGAAAAAGCAAGATAAAGAGTGCCAAAAGCGCAAACGATAAAAAAAATTTCTTCGTCAAAATACCCCTACTTCCCTCAAAATCTGATTTTATGTATCGTGTTATGCAATGATCATTTTTGTCCCAAAATGGTTTATTTTACTACACTTTTTTTGTGTTAAATTTATTCTAAATAGCGTCTAGTTTATGTGCTATTATGAATATATTAAGTTTTTTTTCCAATTAATAAAGTTTTTATTGTAATAACATTAACTTTGTCATAATACCCCTACTTATCTTATATAATTAAATACATGTGATAAATTAAAAAAATTACTAAAAAAGGGGAACGTCTAGAGCGGAGGCAAATCACGTGAAATATTAATGATTATGATTGGTTAATGCAGATAAAATTCTGATTGGTCAAGTGAGATAAATTAAATTTTAGATGATAACGATAAATATCAAATGACAAGGGAATTAAACATTTTTTTGTTTTTGTTTTGTTTTTGTTTTGTTTTGGTTTGGGTTTGGTTTTGGTTTTGGTTTTGGTTTTTTCATAACGGTAAGTTCTTTTTTTTCATAATTTGACTATTTCATTTTTTATAAAGGTTAAAGATATTAACCTTTTTTCTTAAAAAAATATTTTTTTACTTTTCGGTTTAGTTATGTTCGCCACCTCTTCCGGTTTAGTTATGTCTGTCACCTCTTCCAGTTTAGTTATGTTCGCCACCTCTTCAGTTGTGCCTTCGATGATTACCTCTGCTATGTCTTCAATTGTTACGGCTTCTTCAATATCAAATCTCACACCAGATGAAAAATGGAGTCATCTTTTTAATATAAACGATTTTTTA